TGGCGCTTGCTCTCCAGCCCCATGAAACTGACCTTGGCGTGCTGTCATGTGTCCCAACCGTTTGCTTTGAACACCTTCCCAACATCACCTTAGTTGGCCCTCAGGTTTTTTATTTTTTTATTTTTATTCTAAATATTTTTCATATGTCAATCCCTTCCCCCCCCCTTAGTTTTGATAATATTTCATTCTTCCCTCACTGCCTTCCTCCCATGTGCCTGTCCATTTAGGTTCTTTCATGATGTTCACTGGCACTTAATAGAAGCCCAAGTGTTTGGTTACTCAGTGATTGTAGATAACTTCCATTCAGTTTTCAAGGAAGATGAGATTTTTCTCAAGTATTTAGGCAATATTTAGATGAAATAGTCTTTTCCTAAATGAGACGGAGACACAGAGCAGCGTAAGTTGGCAGAGTGCTCAGACAGGAATGTGAAGGGCAGGTGGGATGAATCCTTGCTGACCGGTTGGTTAGTTTGTTAGGGGAATATATATATATATATATATATATAATTAGCAGGTGTTGTATAATAATATATATATATTAATTAGCAGGTGTTGTTGGCAGCCTTGTCTAATCATTCCTCCCACAAATAATCTTTCCTACATTGCTGACACTCACATAGAAAGACAAGTGGCTGTGTTCTGAGAGCAGATTTGGAAATAAGATGCAGCCTATCCCTTGGCCAAGGCATTGACCAACCAATACGGTTCTGTGTATCAAGTCCCAGAGACTTGGCTTTGATCTTTTAGTAGTCCTGGTTGAGTATGTCTTATCTAAAACGCTCAATACTAGAAGTGTTTCCAGTTTGAGATTTTAAAATTACCGCCCCCCCCCTTACATAAGTTTCCTGGTTGAACACCCTTAAACTGAAAATCTCAAATCCTCCAAAACTCTTGATTTATTGAACATTACCGTTTTGCATTTGGCACGATGGCACATGCATGCCTATTGCCCCAGCAGTTGAGGCTCACTTGAGCCCAGGAGCTGGAAGCCAGCCTGGGCAGTGCAATGAGATCCCACCCCAGAACACTTCTTTAATACTTTAGACTTTTGCTCTTTGGACTAGAGCCACTTAGCATATATATAAGTTTAGGTAAGAAAGACCAGCTGAGGGATGTAGCTCAGGAGCAGTGCTTGGCAAGCATGCTTGGGGGGTCTCAGGTTCAGAGACAAGTCTCTAGAAAGTAAATCCCACTGTCCACTTTTGTTGTAGAACAGTCATTAATTTTGTAGAATCCATATTGAAAGAACCCTCACAACAGTCTAGTGTTAACTCACTTTCCTCAGTCCCCAATAGTGGGCTGCTGTTTGCCATAACTGTTTGGTCATTTTAAACCCTTCAGGCTGACTGGGTGTAAATGTTGTAACCAGTGTCTACGTGGTACAGGCCTATCATTCCGTCTGGGGATTCATGTTTTATGTAAAATATAGAATTTCCCAAAGACTCTCTTTTATTTTCAAAGATAAAACACTATTATCTCAGTCTTCAAAGTGGCATACCTGAGATAAAAATCTGTATTTATTCAGAACCATTGGCAACCAGATTAATTTTAATCTTCTCAGTTACTGGGTTGGCTCACCCTTCTCATCTCAGGCCCAGCCACCAGCACAGCCTCCAGCCCACAATGTTGCTTCTCGGAGCAGGTGACTATTTTGAATCAAAGCTTTGCATTTGATTTAGGTGAATGGACATAGCCACACTCTGGTTTCTGTTCCTACATCTCAGGTTCTCAGGTTACATAGAAGCAGTGGTTAAATCCCTGTTGAGCATACTTTGTGGGAGAGGTTGTGTTTCCTGTACTTCTGTTGGCTGGAGTGCTCAAAGGTGTTGCTGAAAGCCACCCGAGGACTTGGCCATGTGTCCTGCCACTGCACCCGTCACCTGAGAGCTCACTGCAGGACTTGCCTGTCTCCCCCACACCTGCTTGGCCTCCTTATACTCACATCCAGCCAAGAGGAAGGCCTTTGGTCTATGTCTGCTAGTCCCGCCATTACAAATGATCACAAAGTAAGTGGCTTAAACCGTATAGCGTTTTCCCTTCCACATTTCTCCAGGTGTCAACAGGGTCCTGTCCCTAGGGACTGCAGGGACAGCCTTCCTCCTGTCCCCGAGCTTCCAGACATCCCTCGTACGCACGTTACTCCAGTTTACTCCTCCTCCTGAGCTTCCATGCCTTTGTCTCTCTGTTGTGAATTCCAGGCAAATGGGATAGGGGCTTTTGTTAGCCTCTTTAGTTCTGTGTGGATGCACCGTGTCTCTGAATGCCCTCGCTTACCGGGTTCCAGGTGATAGGGACTTTTAGATAAATGTCCCCATCCTTGCTGTGTCAGCAGGGCCACCCCCACAGAACTCGGTGTGAGAGCCACTAGTGAGGTGGGCCACCTGGGAAGGGTGTTACACCTCTGCCGTTGGGAACAGTACTATAGGGCTTCATTGTAGCCATATTTTTAACCCACCAGTAAAATACTGTCCCTCTGTGTGTACATGTCCATGTGTGTGTGCACACGTGTGCACTTGTATTCATGTGGAGGAGAATGGCGGTTAATGTCCTGTCTCCCTCAATCACTCTCCCAGCCCTTTTTTATTAGTTTGAGTTTTGGTTTTGTATTTTTGGTTTTTCGAGACAGGGTTTCTCTGTGGCTTTGGAGGCTGTCCTGGAACTCACTCTGTAGACCAGGCTGCTCTCAAACTCACAGAGATCTACTTCCCTCTGCCTCCGGAGTGCTGGGATTAAAGGCGTGCGCCACCACTGCCTGGCGAGTTTTTGGGTTTTTTTTGTTGTTGTTAAGATTTATTTGTGTGTTTATGTCTCTCTGAGTGAGTGTATGTGTACGTGTGTGTGTGTGTGTGTGTGTGTGTGTGTGTGTGTGTGTGTGTACATGTCTGTGCAGAGGGGACGCCACAAGAGGGCTTGGGGTGTCCTCCTCTGTTGTTGTCCTCTGCGTATACCTTTGAGGCAGGGTCTTTCCCTGTCCTGGGCTTGTGTTTTGTCAGTTAGGCTGGAGGTAACAAGCTTTAGCAGTTGTCTGTCTGTCTGTATGTCTACCTTGGAGCTGGGGTTACAGGAGTGCATGTAATATACATGGGACTACGTGGGAGCCTGGTTTGTCACACAGCTGCTGGGACCTCAACTCTGGTCCTCGAGATGGTACAGGAAGTCCTCTCACCTGCTAACTCTCTCTCCAGCCCCATTTTTTTTGGAGGCAGTCCTACCCAAAACTTACTGTGTGGCCCAGGCTGGTCTCAAACTCACAGCAATTCTCCTGCCTCAGATCTGCAAGTACTGAGATGACAGGCATAAAACATTATTTCCTTTAAATAGGTGCATATAAGTGTACACATGAAAATTTGTCTTCATTTGTCTTATATTTACTTATTTTTAGTTTTGGGGTGTAGTCCTTTAAGCCAGCCTCTGGAGTGCTAGGGTTGTAGGCATGAGCCACCAATCCCGGCTTAAAACATGTTTGTAAAGACGTAAGAGGTCGCAGAGCCTGAGGTTCTCATATACAGAAACTTGTAAATTACTCACTGTGAGGCTCTGCACTGTTTCCCATGGTCGGTTGAGTTCATTCTGTTATGTTTCTGTCAGGAGGCTGATTTGGGGTCTGGTGATCTCCTGAGCAGGAGACCCTGTCAGGACAAAGGCAAACCTTCCTGTCAATTGCTCTGTTAGCTTGCCAAACCTTAGTCAGAAATAGCTTCCTAGTTAATCAGTGTCTGTGTTTGTGGTGTCCCTGGCTAGGCTGGTTCCTGGCAGCTGTGTGTTTGCCTTGACATTCATGGATTCTGGGTACTTGTTAATTAGCCTGAAGGCACAAAGCAAATCCTTAGAGTATATTTCCTTTGTGATGGAAATAGAGTTCCTGAGGGGAGACCAGGGAAAGAAAGGGCTGGGAAGAAAAGATCTGAGCTGGATGGAAAGGAAGCCGCAGAGGCCTGCTCATCCATCCAGAGAGAGCTGCTCACAGAGAGAGAGAGCTGCTCACAGAGAGAGAGAGCGCTGCTCACAGAGAGAGAGAGAGCTGCTCACAGAGAGAGAGAGCCGCTGGTGAACCCTGGGCTTGAGCAGTGGGAGGCAGACAAGGACGGGGCCTCTGGCGGGAGACCATCCCTCAGTTTCAGCATGCTAGGGTCCACTGCGGTGCTGCCGATGTCCTGATTCTCTCTGTGTGTGACGCTATTCCTAGGGTGACTGAACAAATGTCTACTCGCCCCAGATAGGGAACCGGCCACAACCCAAAATACGGACACCAACAAAGTCCACTGTGGCAGACCTGTGAGTTTTACACTGGTTGCTCACAGGAGTAGAAAATGATTCAGACAGCTTTGCTTCTGCAGGGGAACCACTCATGCACACGTGTGTTTCCTGCTGGCATGAAAACCTGGCTGGGAATGAGTGTGGAAAGTGGAGCTGAGCTTTGCAGCCTGTCTGTGCATGATAAAATGTGCCTGGAGCACACGCTTTAGTGGTCCATAGCGTCCTCTACCAGACAGCTGTGCACGGTCTGAGTGCACTTTTTCCTACTGCACTTGGAAGAGCCTGCTGGGCTAGAAGTGGGTGTGGCAGGATGTCCCACTGCTTGTGGCTCTCCTGAGCAGAGGGTGGTGGTGCTGTGCAGAGAGGAGCCCTGGGGCCCTTCCCAAGGGTTAAACCAGGAAAGACTACGAATTTGTACACCAAGACTGCCAGGCCTGGAGTTCAGACTTGAGGGTTGTCAGGGGAGCCGGACAGAAAGGTGGTCCCAGAAAGGTCAGGGGGCTCCTGAAATGCCTGAAGTAAACGGAAACATTGAAATTAGACGGGAGGATTGAGATAGGGCGGCCGGAGGGACCCACAGCTTGTCATAAAGGACAGTGACGGAATTGGGGCAGAGTGAAAGCAGGTTAGTATAAGCCCTTGCAAGTATGTCTCCATATGGGGAAGAGCTCGTGTGAGCTGCGTCAGACAGCATCCCCTTCCTCAAGTGACAGGTGACAGCAGCCGTCATAGACACAGTCACCATGGTCACACCGAAAATCCAGCAATTCCTTTATGTAAACTCTTCAGCCATTGCTCACCTGTCTGTGAATTTGCTTAGCCTCAGAGTCTTCTCAGCACTGACCAGCTGTGGTACCACAGTGTTCCTGTTTCAGGGGGCCGTGGTGAAGGCAAGAGTGTTTGGGGTGAGCATGGATTTCAGCAGGATGTGGTCACTGAGGGTATCTACTGCTTGCTGCTCAGCTTCCTGCTCTCCTTCCCGTAGCCTCTGTGCTGTCCGTGGCACAAGCATTTGTTGAACACTTAAAATCTTTGGGTGAGATGTGCTGTGACCACAGTGTTGAGAGCTCAGAAGTTTATTCTGAAGACAGAGAAGTATTTCCTTAGTAATTTTTGTTGTAGATTACATCTTGAAATAATTTGGATATGTTAATGCAAACCACATTAAATAAAAATAAGTATTATTAAATTGGAGTAAAATGTATGTAAAACTCCCTATCCTGACCATTTGAAAAAGGCCAGAGAGACTGCTCAGCAGTTTGGAGCAGTTAAGAGCACTGGCTGCTCTTACAGAGGACCTGGGTTCGGTTCCCACCACCCACACAGCAGCTCACAGCTGTCTGTAACTCCACTCCCAGGGAGTCACACCCTCTTCTGACTGCTGTGTGAGCACTATGTGCAGACAAAACACCTGTAAAATACAGATAAGTTTTAATGTATCGGACAGTGCTGCGGCTGTACTGTTGTTGTTTATAGTGTTGTTCAGCTATCACACACATTTCCTATCTCTCTCTCCAGCCCTGAAGTCTCTCATCAACCGTCTGTGGTTTGTTCACTTTGGATCTGTACAGGGTCCTTTGTGTCTGTCTTCCCTCCCTGAGCCTTGTGCTTCAAAACCCTCCATCTTGTCCCTGTTGGAGAGCTTACTCTGAAACACTGAGCTAGTTTTCCAAGAATCTCATGCAAAAATAATTTGTTTCCAGACCAGCATGACTGGGATAAGCTTGTATGTGTGATAGCTAACAGTTTAGTTCCTATCTAATTCTGGTGGCACTGTACCAAAATCACTCAGAATCAAAGTATGAACTGAGTTGAATGTATTAATATTTAAAAATAACTGTAGGGCAAAAACAGCCAAAGCACTTTATGTGGTTGTCTGAACGAATGAATGTTCAGATGCCAGTACTGTTCCAGATACTGGTATGATGTATAAAAATCATGGATGCAGTTTTCCTTTCCTTATAGATACACCCCTCCCCAAACAAACAAGCTAGGAAACATTCTCAATATTCTTAAAAACAATTCAGCATTTTCTGTAAGTTTAAAATTCTGTGCAGAAAACTTGGTGGCACCTTATGGACGCATTTTCATGTTCTTCGGAGGCCATGATCTTTTGTTCATAAGTAAGCAGGAAAGGTGAGAAGACGTTTTCTTTGGCAGGATAAAAGCCATGCGGAAGCAGAGGTAGCTTCCGACTGCAGCAGTTCCCAGAAGCAAGGTAGCAGGGAAGGGTGAGCTCAGCGAGGGACATCTGTTCACCTCAATGTGCAGTGGACCTCTGTGTCACAGAGAACACCGACTGCACCCAACCTCCCTCCCCTCGCAGCAATGGAAACTGCCTTCCTTTGGCTTCTCATCTGAATGGAATCCAGACAGTGATGGTGCATGACTTTAATCCCGGCACTTGGAAGGCAGAGGCAGGCGGGTCTCTGTGAGTTAGAGGCCAGCCTGGTCTACAGAGTGAGGTCCAGGACAGCCAGCACTACACAAAGAAACCCTGTCTTGAAAAACACAAACAAAAATTTCCTTTTGTGACTGGCCTCTTCTTTCACTTACCCCCAAGTCTTAGCGGTTCACCTGTGTTGTTCATGTGTGCTGTGATCTCCTGCTTAAAGGCTCTGCAACATGCTGTCTGTACTCACACTCTCTAGGATCACACCTCACCTCTTGGCTGTGAGCCTCGCCGCAGTGAATGTGGGTGGTCTGAGGGTGCTCTCTGAATTCTTTTGCATGTATGTATGTTGAGGGATCAGGGACAGACTCATCCATGTAGATTATTTAGCAAATGCTTTTTTTTGCCCAGAGCAGCAGGAATTTTGAGCTGGGCAAGTCCTCTTCCTAGGGTGGACTCTCTTGGCCCCACAGTCTCCTCATTCTCTCATCATTTTACCTGTGTAAAAGAAACACTTATCTAGAAAAGTGTCTCCCTGGTAGAGCTATTTTACTAATAGCACTCTTGGGACTTCTCTACCATTGCCCAAATTACTCCCAAAGCAAGCACAGGGCTCAGCTGGATCTCATGTCTCGGCATGTGTTCCTGTCTGCATCTCTCTGCATGTGTTCCTGTCTGCATCTCTCTGCATGTGTTCCTGTCTGCATCTCTCTGCATGTGTTCCTGTGTTCACCTCTCAGCACACATTCCCATGTTCCTGAATGTTGCTCAGGAGTCTGCCTCTTTAGAACTTTCCTCTGTCCAGGCTCAGGAGATGTAGAGGCCGTGTCAGAGGAGGTTCTGGAGGACATGGGAGGGGGTGGGGAGCGGGTAGGAGCTGGCAAGTTGGCATCGAGAATGGATGAAAGTGCCCGTGTTAGCAGCATGTTGATTAGTGGAGTACTAGTTTGTTGGAGATGATGTGGTAACAGGCTTTCATGTTGCCACCACACTCATCCTGTGTGTGTGACTGAGTAGCCTTTGCCTGTGTGCTGCACACTCATCCTGTGTATGTATGGTTAGTGTTGTCTCCTTTCTCTCATGTTTCTAATTATTTTTAGCATTGGTCCTCAATTATACTGACCTATTATACATGAGAGAGATTGTCAGGGAAATTGCTTCATGGGGTTGTGGAGGCTGGGAGTCCCAGACCAGCTTCCCTGTGAACTGGGGATCCCAGAATACTGGATACTGGGAGACTAGTTCACTCCCATGTCTGAAAGCCCCAGAGCCAGGAATGACGGCTGCTAGCCATAGCCCTGGAGTCCTTAGACCAGACCAGGCTCTCGACTCACAGCTGTGACTCAGGACTGTGCCCCATGTCCCATATCCAAGAGAGCCAGTGGAAATCCTTTGTCCTGTTTGCTCTCCCCAGCACCAAGCTCACTGGATGGAATCCACCCATTTTGAGGACAGGTCTTATTCTCTGGGTACACAGCTCCCACCAGTTTGCAGAATAAACACCCAGGAACACATTAGCATGTCTCTAGGGACTCCTCAGGCTAACATCACAGATGCAGTCCATGAAACTTGTCTGGCTCAGGTTGCTAGGCACTTGCAGGGCAGCTGCTGAGAGCCTGCTCTCTGGGGTGTGTCTGGTGTGACTGTTGATATTGAGCCACTTGAACAAAGTGTGTCTGGGCCCACGGCCCATCTCCTGCCATAGGGTAACGACTTGTCCAGCTCCTCAGGCTGTATGTGAGGTGCTGACAGCATCGTCTGACCCAGAGTCCTCAGCGTGTGCTGACTTCTCACCCAACACTCACATCTCTCTCCTCCTCTTTATTGTGTCATGGTTCCCTGTTGCCTCCCCCCCCCCCCCCCCCCCACACACACATCCTGACTGGATGGGACTGTATCAGGAGCTGTCTGGGGTCTGCAGGCCAGGGAGAGGGAGAGGCTGTGCTGGTTGGGAGTGGTGTTTGGGAACTAGAATTGAGGCATCCATTGATCACTTCTGGGGTGGCTGGAAAGAAATGCGTAAGCAGGTACATTCCTTCACTGTGGATGGACAGCCGCAGAGTGCGGCTCCCCGAAGGCTGGCTGGGTTGCTGCTGGCTGGGTGCGGCTTCCTCCTGTGACCATGCTCTGAGGGCTGAGTTGCTCAGGTGAGCTGTCTGACTTGGCGGTGTTTGTCTTCCTTGCAGGCGATTTTAGTGAATAATATCACCACAGGCGAGAGGCTCATCAGAGAACTGCAAGGTAAGCCCCCTCCTGCCAGCCCAGCAGCTGCCCTGTCCCGACCGCCTCATGTGGCTCTGTCACTATAACCTTGTGTTAGCAGTAATTGAGCCATCCTTAGTGTAGTTTTTTTCCTGTCCTTATAAAATATCACTGTGACATTGCCAGGTATGGCGGGCACAATTCAGACCTTTGGTTTATATATCTTTAACAAATACTGGGAAGGGTGTGCTGAGTACGGGGCACTTGCCCAGCGTTAACAAGACCTAAGGTTCAACCCCCACCACCGAGTAAGTAATGGAATCGGATGAGCATTCCTAATCCAAGACTCTGAGCACCAACCTGTGGAAAATCCCACATCTGACCTCAGGCCAAGGTCAGAACACATAAAATTATTTAAAACTTTGTATGACGTGATCTTCAAGCTGTGTCTATAAAGCACATATGAAAAGGAAAAGGCACTTGCTGCTGAGCCTGATGACCTGAGTCTGATCCTAGGACCCACACAGTGCAAGGAGAGAACCTGACTCCCACAAGTTGATCTTTGACCTCCAAACATGCCCAGTGGTGCACAAATAAATAAAATGTAATAATGAAAAATAGGTTTTAATAGACATTTCAAATAGGATTGAGGTGCAGGTTTCTGTGGGGGAGAGTTTTGGTGGTTGGTGTTGTGATGGTGGGGGAGGGGCTGTTCTCTTCCCTTTTGCTCTCTTCTGTGCCATTTGTGCAGAGTGTGATTTTGTTGTGCCTTGTGTGTCTGAGTGTCACGGCAGCCACACAGAGACCAGTGAAGTGATTTGTCGTTTTGGCTTAGACCAGCTGAAGGCTCTGCAGAGGAGTTATGGCATCCTGCAGCAGGACATCTTTCAGTTCCAGAAGAACCAGTCCAGCATGGAGATGAAGTTCACCTATGACCTGTGAGTGTGGCTAGGGATAAGTCCTGCCCCCTGGGAGGAGGGTCTGGGTTCTGCTCATCAAAGGCCAAGGACAGAGTCCAGCTGCTCACTCTGCCTGTCACAGAGCTGGTATTCCATATGTATAGCGTGTGAGAAGAAACACATGACTTCTGGGACATATGTCCTTTAGAAAACCAGGATTCTATTTGGTAAGTGTCAGCCAGCAGGGCTCATTACACGGGTAAGAAAGGTATGTCTGTGTACATGTATGCGTGTGCACTCGGGTGCCGGGGTGTGTGCATACAGGTGGTGCTTGGAGGAAATGAATCGTCACCGTACCTTAACATCTACGTATCATAGACTTAATAATACAAAGCTCAGTAGTACCAATTACCTTGTCAATCTGAACACTTAAAAAAAAGTCAGAAGTGGAGTTGGAGAGGTGGCTCAGTGGTTAAGAGCACTGGCTGCTCTACCAGAGGCCCCAGGTTCAGTTTCCAGCACCCACATGGCAGCTCACAGCTGTCGGTCACTCCAGTTGCTCTTTCACCTACAGTGGCTTCTCAGTCCATGCTCAAGTCATTTGCACGGCTGCAGCCACCACACTAATAGTTTTTAAATTTACTTGCCTTATGCATACAAAATTCACATAGCTTCAAAGTGCTCATCATTTAAAAGCTATTTGGGATTCCTTTCCTTCCACAAGACACTCAGTGTAGGTTTAGCTTGTCACTAGATGTACATTGACAAATTCCTTGCATTCTTTCTTGTTTTATTTTTGAAATGTGTAGCCCAGGCTAGCCTCAAGTTTGTATAGCTCAGACTGGCCTGGAACTCATGATCTCCCACCCAAGTGCTGAGATCACTACACAGTTCTTCCTTCCTAACTGCTTCCCAAGAGTTAGGCTGGGTGTGCAGTCCCCAGCAGCTGAGGGTAAATAGGTGCCTCGCACGTGCCAGCCTCGTAGAACACCCTTGTTCTTTTGAAGTACCAGTGTCTTGCCTGATTTCCTGATTACTTCAAAACCCAATCCTGCAAAAAAAAAAGTGTGATGTCTGGAGCACATTAATGAGTGTCATAGCAACAGGGTATGTGCCCAGCACTGCACCAGTAGGCCGTGGCGCTGTGTGAACACTGTGGTGGCCTTGCACTGAGATGACTACAATCTCACTTGTCTCGCCAAGACACCATTATGTATCACGTGACTGTTACGTTGTTGTGCCTGCATAACTGCAGAAGACATGAGCAAACACTCAGGAGGAGGACTGTGAAACCTGTACCCACCTCGTGCCTGTTCCTTCAGAGCCTGGGCCGTATCTAGAGACGTTTCTCTCTGACTTGAAGGATAGTGCTACTGGAATCCATTGAGTAGAGGCCAAGACACTGCCAAGACAGATCCCACAATGAAACTGTGTCTGGTTCCAAACACTCACAGTAAGCTTGGGAAACTAAGTGAGTGAAAACCAAACATTTTACAGACAAGTGTGAAATGCCCTAGACTTACAGCCTTCAAAAGCTCATTGAAGCCAGTATTTCCTCCAAATCAGTAGCCTCACTTGCTAAGTGTTGACTCAAGATTTCAGCCTATCAGAAGTCAGCTTGGGGCCAAAGGGAAAAGCAATGGTCCCAGCGAGGTCAGTGGCTGTGATGCTGCCCTGGGCTGTATGTGTGAGACACTTGTTTCTAAGAGGCGAGCAGTCTTGGTGTGGTGGTAGGTCTGTCTGTCTGTCTGTCTGTCTGTCTCACAGGTTGTGCTTTGGGGGCCCTGCTGCAGATGCAGGAAACTCTGGGAAGTAATGGCCAGATATTGTTGTAACCTAGAAAGAGATAGCTGTCCTTAAGTCTCCTTGAATTAAGAGATCTGTGTGTTTGAGAATCTGAGGAAAGATGTAAATACCTTGTTAGCAAATTTGCAATGTGTATAAAATTGCACATTGAGGAATTGAGAGCTCTTGACCAAGTCTACAGCTGCCTAATTAAAGCAAGCTTTATTGAAAACTGACCAGGAAGTTGTCCACACCTGGGATTCCCAGAGAACGGCACTGAATCTGGTGCTCACAAAGGCAAAACCCACAAGGCTATAGTACTTCCCACTTTTGTTCAATCAGGGGCAAGCATACAACACGTCCTGTGAAGTTGGGACAACCAACCTTGTTTACCCAAGTACAAAAAAACATGACTTCTTATCTTACATGAACAACAGCCCCCAACATTTCAGGAAATTATCTGTCCTTGGGCAAGTGAAGCTTACAGGTCAACCTTAGCCCCCACAGTCCCTGTCATTAGTGTTAGACGCCCGGAAAACTCAGGTATCCGGGGTCCCAGGACACGACCACGGTCACCCCAATCACCAGGCAGATTCGAGAGCTTGATGCAAACTGCATGAGGCTTTATTGTTTTTTAACGAGCTAACCCCATATTAGCTCGGGTCTTTCACCCACCCGTCATGGGGGATGGCTCGAAAAAGACAGCTCGAACCCGCTGCGTACAGATCTTTATAGGGCAGTGTAAGGGGAGTGTCTAGGGGTACACACAGGCTCAGGATTGGTGTGCCTCTAGGCTTGGAGGGCTTGCCCTGTGTTGATTGGCTAACTGGTTGTTATGGCCCATAGGCCCTCCCAGGGTGGTTGCTATGCAATGTGCGTCATTGCTGTGTGCTTGTTCCGTAAAGTACACCCAGGGTCGTGAAGCATATCGCCACCAGCTAACTTCTGATTGGTTCCTTGTCATGAGGCAGGCACCTAACCTCTAATAACTAAGACAAGGTCATAGAGCATGTGTTACTGTCATGGCTGCCGAAATGGGGAGCTGGTCCCTTCAATTAGTGGCCTAGAGTTGTGTGCCTCTTTATTAATCCCTGAGTATCTGCTTGGTGCACATGTGTAGGCAGACTTTCTCTGTCCCTCCTGCCAGCTCCCAAGTCACAACACGAAGACTTAATTATGAAAGCTCAGCTGATAGATCAGGCTTGTTTCTGACTAGCTCTTATAGCTTAAATGAACCCATTTCTATTAATTGACTTTCTGTCTTGTGGCTTTATTCCCTTTGCTCTGTATGGCCCATGTTGCTTTCCTGCCTCCTCCATCTCTGGCTGGTGACTCTCTGCATCTCTGCCCTTCTTCCCAGCATCCTCTCTGCCCCCCAAATCCTGCCTAGCTATTGGCTGTTCAATTTTTTACTAAACCAATCAGAATGACACATCTTCATAGTGTGTAAAAAACGATCATTCCACAGAATGAAAGAGCTAGCCTGGGGCGTTCCGGGAGGAGTCACACTGCCCCAGTCTCCATTGTCTCTTAGGATGTGAGCTTCATGCTGGGAGGTCTGCTCATTTCCTGGCTGCTTTTGAGCTGGAATGTGGGGTGTGGATATTATTTGCGTGGCTGAGAGTTGGAGGGTGGCCCTTCCTGGCTGCTTCAGTGCAGTTCTGGTAGCTGAAGCTGGTACTTCCCCTCCGCAGACATTGAAGTTGAGGAGTGCAGGAAGGCCTGCTCGGCCATTCCTTAGACAGACAGCTGCTGTTTCTTTAGTCACTGTGTTCTGCCCCTTTTGCTAGTCTGTCACCAGCAGTTTAACTGACTGTGGGAATCTTTCCAGGGAAGTTTTTGCTTATTTCTCACCTGTCTGAGGTTCCTGTTATCACCCGGGTCCCTTCTGCCTATGGACTGTTATATCCAGTGATGCTCTGAACTGCCAAAGGGTGTGCTCCACTTTGGGGACTGAGGATCCAGAATGCTTCCAACTCGGAAAACTGCATAGAAAGAGCACAGCAGTCTTCTGTGAACTTGAGTCTGTCTCAGCTCTAGCAGCAACATGCACCTCTTAGCTTTCTCATTTGCTAAGCAAGTGGTTTTAGCTCTGCTCTGCCCTTGCTGAAATCCTCTTAAATTCCAAGTGGAAGGCTCCAGCCTCCAGTGCATCTCAGGTGAAGGCCTTTGACAGCCATATGACCTCCAGTCAGTCTGGATGCTGCCCAGAGTTCACCCATGTCCCACAGGTTAAAGGACACAAGCTCTTAAGACAGGCCAGTCACAAGGACTGTGTGTCCCCCAGCCACCCACGGGATGGTTTAAAAATTCAGGGATACCTGCCATACCCCTCGATACTTTGCCAGAACAGCTCACAGAACTGAGGACAACTTTACTCACTACAAAGCTTTCATTACAAAAGGTGTGATGCGCGGACAGACACAAGGAGAAGAGTTCTAAGACAAGGTCTGGGAATGGGGGCTCTGTCTCCTATGGAGACAGGGCCCAACCCTGTATCTGTGTATTTCTAGCCCAGAGGTCATGAAACGCTATGGTCTAGAGATAGTAGCTGGGTTTGTTAAGTAAGGCATGACGGATGGCACCATTGTCCACACGGGTGAACACTCCAGTCCCCTTCACCCCCCAATGAGTCATCTCATCAACATTACCACAGGTCTGGTCCACAGATCTCATAGGTGAAGATGCTCTCAACAGGAAATCACAAGATTTTAGGCACTTGTACCAGTAGTCAGTGTTTTGTAGGTGTGTGGTATTTAAAGCAACGTAACAAGCCTAGAGTGTACTTACCTGCAAGTTTCTTTCCTGCCATCTAATACTTAACAAGTCCTCATTTCAGACCATGTCCAGAGTAAGAAAGGGCTGTCCTGTCTCCTGCTGCGTGGATCGTGGGTGTGGGGTTCAGCAGGGATGGAGGGAGTGCTGGGGACATCCACCTGTCCTTCCATTTGCCACCATCAGGAGCCGGTGTGTTAACCGGATGAAAGAGGTGAAGGAACAGTGTGAAGAACGGGTGGAAGAGACGACCAGAAAGAGAAATGAAGCAGTGGTTTCCAGAGATGCGGGTGAAAGAAATGACCAGCCTCAGCAGGTGATCTGAGTCTGTTCTGGCCTCGGTGTTCAGGGGGTACACCTCCACTCCTCAGCTTTTGCTCCACTGACCTGTGTCTCTGTTCTCCCCATGGGTGTGGTTCCCTGTGGTACAACAGAGCAAAGCTTGGTGCCAAGATGCCCAGACCCAGCCATGTATGCTGCCCCAAGCTCAGAGTCCTTGTCTTTAACATCCCAGCCCTGTGTGGAAGAAGCCAATGCTATTTGGCTGTTTGAGGCTGTCGATTTCAGGCCAGGGTCAGCCTGGCCAGTGGTAGGGCCCATAGTACTGTTCCCACACACCTTCTGATACCAGAGCATCGTCTTTGCAAAGGGTGAGCTTTTGCTTTCACTGATTTTTGTTGATTTTTTTTCATTTTAATTAATTTATGAGTATATGTGTTTTTTCTTCTACTTACTTTGGATTTAGTTTGCTAATTTACTTGAATCTATGGTTTGGTGTTTGACATGAATTTGGAGTTCTCAAATCTTGATCATCTAGCTGTTTGTCTTATCCTGGTTTGATCACTACATATGTGTGACATGTAGAAGTTGTCCCCATGCTTCTAGCCTGAGTATGAGTGGTCTTAGTTGTCCCACAGTCTCAGGGATTTTCTTTCATTGTTTGCAGCCTTTGCTCTCTTTGTTTTTCACTTTCATAGGTTTCTATTTTACCTCAAAACCTGGGAAATTCTCCCTTGGCCATAGCTAGTCCACACACAAGCCCAACAAAAACTTCATTTACGTACAGCATTTTTATCTGGTAGTTCTTCTTTTCCCATAGTTCCTCTCTCCGCTTCATTGTCTACTTTACTCATGGGGCTCTCTACACATTAGCCATGTTTGGTAAGTCAGGTATCACTGTGCCTGGTTCTGATGTTTCCTCTGTCTCCAGATTGGCTTTTGCCTCACAGGGTGCCTTCTAATTTTTTTACCTGGCCATGGGACAGGATATGCTTCACAGAAGGATCTGTTATAATAGGCTGTCTACCGCCCACTGTAAGGTGTGACAAAGGGGAGACTCCATTTTGTTTGTCTAGCTGTAGGTATGAGCCTGTGTTTTGGATTATGTCCTGCTCCTCAGCACCCCCATCAAGTGGGACAGCCACCTTCCCTCACCCTGGTTGGCTTCTCAGGGTAACCAAGGGAATGGACATCTTTTTGAACACCTGGGAGTGCTAATTTCCATGTATTTGTGACTTTCTCAAATTCCATGTCATATGATGGGAGCATCGGTGTATGGTTTGGGCGGGTCATGCAGTCACTGGGGGCAGTGTGGCCAGCTGGTGGCACTTCTCTTCTGTTTGATGTCAGGCAGACAGGGTGGGCCTGTCCCAGTGTCAGGCTGAGTGCTGTAGACAGTTGGTCAGGTAACTTGGTTTATTGGCAGGGTTACATTTTCCCTTATTTCCTCCCTTGTTGAGTGTGTTTTCCGGAGGACCTGGACTTTTAACCACAGTCTACTAATTGTGTCATTTGACAGGGTAGACCGTGGTGTTTGAGTTAGGGGTTCTTACTTGCTGGTGATTCAATGAGTGTCCCATGACCGACTCTTGTAGTTCTGTGCTTATTTCAATTCCAGGACCTCAAGCCTCAGCCCAAGCTTCAGCAAATGGTCCCGCCAAAGGAACAGGTGCCACAAGGGAAAGGGGATGTGCCCACAAACAAGTCCCAGGCACCAGCCCCCAGTTCAGAGGTGTTGAAACCACATAAACAGAATGGTAAGTGGAGACAGCCATTGGTTATGTCCTCCCAAACCCAAGCAGCAGTGTATGGTTTGGGCAGGTCGTGCAGTCACTGGGGGCAGTGTGGCCAGCTGGTGGCACTTCTTTTGGGGCCCTCGATGGGGGACACAGGCTTCCACTCTGTCTTATTAACACCTTGTCCTTGTCAGCTGAGTGCCGAGTTCCTTGGCAGCTCTCTAAGAACAGGTACAGAGAGCACTTTAATCCAGGGTACCAGAGGATTGTGGGATTTAAGTGCGGAGACCAAGCTCTCAGTGGCTGGTGTGCCTGAGCTTCCATGGCTTGTCCTAAACAAATGACTATGAGAGCCTAGCACTCTGCCCTCGGGGTGTCAGGGTACCTAAATCCATGTTATTTTCTGATTTTTGTTTGTTCGTTGGGTTTTGCTTTGAGACAGGTCTCTATTTAGATCTGGCTGTCCTGAAACTTGGTATGTAGACCAAGCTGGCCTTGAACTCACAGAAATCCACCTGCCTCTCCTGTGTGTTGGGATCAAAGGTGTGTGCCACCACACCCGGGAATTTTCTGCTACTTAATCTGAGGATGAGCTGCAGTACGGAACCCTGTGGTATGGAGTGGAGGCCAAGGAACAAGCTCCCAGCCAGCTACCCCAGAGTATGTAGTGCACCCGGTGGCCACTCTTTCTGGAATTAAGTGGTGACACTTCATTTTGTTTTTTGCTTTTGTTCTGAGATAAGTTACAGTGTAGCCCAGGCTGGCCTCAAACTCTCTATGTAGCCAATGCCTTGAATTGACTTTGCTGCCTCCATCTCCCAAGTCCTGGGATTACAGGTGTGCTGCATGCATTCTTTGTAGTTAATATTACCTTTTTTTTTTTTTTTTTTTTTTTTTTTTTTTTTTTTTTTTTCTGTTTTGTCTGAGGCAGAGTATTCCAGGTTGGTCTCAACTGACTGTATAGCCCAACATTCCTAATGCCGAGACCCTTTAACACAGTTCATGTTGTGATGATCCCCAGCCATAAAATATTTTTATAACTATAATTTTGTTACTGTTACAAATTGTAATGTAAATAGTTTTGGAGATAAAGGTTTGCTAAAGGGGCGGTAAGAACCACTAATGAGCCAAAGCTAGCATTTGATCTGATCTTCCTGCCTCTGCCTCCGGAGTAATGGGATGATAGGTGTGTGCTCCAAACCCAGTCACAGCTAGGCATGGTGGTGCATGCCTTTAATCCCAGCACTCACTCTACAGGCTCTGATGGCAGGAGGATCTTTGCGTTCAAGGCCAGCCTGGTGTACAAAGTTCTGGGGCAGCCAGGGCTACACAGAGTAACCCTGACTCAAAACAGCAACAAGAAAAACCAAACAAAAACAACAAAAGTAAAGAGTGCTCTTGCAATCATCTATGTTCTATGCACAGAGGAAGCCAGTGAGGTTCAGGGTGGCAGTGAGAAGCACGGTCTGGGACCACAGAAGGCATCAGTCCAAGAACTGGCCCCCGTGAATGGCACAGTTGTAGGAGCTGGGAAACTTCAGACCACACAAGTGCCAGTTGACTTGTTGGCCAGGCCTCAGAAGGATTCTCAGGACCCTGAGCGGGACCAGCTTGTCATCCAAGGGCGGGAGAAGCAGCATCCTGCTGAAGGTGGGTGGCTCTGTGGGCTCCCAGGCTTCCTGCCAGCCATGTGGCTTTCTTCATTTTCTCAGCATTGGACTCACCTTGAATTTCAGCAAATGGCCTTTATAACTTGTTCACTCTTTAATTGTTTTCCATTATCAAGAGGGAAACAGGAAGGGTAGGTAGTGCAAAACATATATTTTATTTTTCAGAAATAATACAATGTCAGTGGGACTCTGTGGGTGTCTGACACCTTGATATGGGTGCTTAGCAGACAAAATGTTGCCTCGTGTCAGTTGGCCACCTGTGTGTCTCTCCTTGCTATGTGCTGACGTACTGATAGTGCCTGGCAAGTGACTGAAGGGGGGAATGAGGGTTGTTAGTGCATGTGAGGGACTATGTGACAGGTGAGTCCCACCTCTCCTCCCCTCATTAAAGAGTGGAGTCTTCCTTCAACTAAGAATCTTGGGTGTATTCTATTGCCTTAAAGATGTGGAAACTCCCCATTTCTTGGTGCCAGGAGCACTCATGATGACACAGGTGCTCCTGAGTGGACCGATACCAGACCTGAGGAATGTGTCTGATTCCTTCAGAACAGTGTGTCCTCTGCTGTTCTGGTTAAGGGTACATTTTGTCAGCCCCGTGCTGACTGTCATTGCTCAGAGACTTGCCCCATGACTATAGCAAGATGGGGGTCATGATGGGAGGAGGGACCCCACTCTGGGGGCACTCAAGTGTCTGACTACTGGACGTGCACTCACAGCTCAAGGTAGCATGAGCTATTGCTTCCATGCGCAGCAGCGATGATCTCGTGGAGGACACACCGGTTGAGAACTGCTCTGTGCAGTGTAGAGATTTTCCAGGCATTCCTTTTCAGAAAGGTGTCCTGTGCCCTCTCGTGTACACACACCTCAGATGCCGAGAGACTGTCGGCTCTAGTCTGAATCCTGTGCTTTGTCCAGGACAAAGCATGATCATGGACAGTCTAATCCTGTACATGGAATGCAGGCTCGTGGTACTTGATCCTTCCCTTTCTTGGAGTCATTCTAAGAAGCCACTGTCATTTCCCATCATTAACCTATTATTTCTTCAAACAGTGCTTTTCCTTAATCTTGTTGAATGCCTTTCTCCAATAGGCATTGAGTTTCTCAGTTTTCTGACTGAATCATGGCTTACTTAGGAATTTTTTTTCCTTTTTTGTGTTAGGAATGAAGCCCACAGCCTTTGTGTGCTAGGGTTCAGTCACCAGAGCTGAATTTTCTAGACTCTGTGTTGAAGGGGCATGTTTCTGAGTACTCTCCATGGCATTTGTACTGTGAAGAAGTCCATGAGTCAGGCTGTTTTCTGAGGCTGGGGTCTGGTAACAGCCTGTACTGGTGCCCGTGTCCCAGTGGCATCAAGAATGAAATGTGGCTGTCTCGTGTGCTGGCTTTACAGAGAGGGACCAGCAGAACCTGGGCGATGAATATAACATGGATGAAAATGAAGCAGAGTCTGAGAGAGACAAGCAGGCAGTCCTTGCAGGGAACGACAGAGATACATATGGTAAGACAGTCGTGTAGAAGTGGTCACCTTCCATCCTTTTCTGTCTTTTCTTTAATTAATGATAACACCATAATGCCCTAAGTAGCGGCCAGTTCGGGGAGATTCTGTTCTTTCTTTTTGGTTTTTGTTTTTTTGAGACAGAGTTTCTCGGTATAACAACTTTGGTGGTCCTGACATTTTGTGTAGTTTCTCCATTCCTTGCTGTAGTTGCTCTTGGCCTTTTAAATTACACTTATCTGTATAAGCACATGCATGGCACTGTGCGCACATGGAGGTCGAAGGGCAGCTTGTCAGAGCCAGTTCTCTTCTTCCATTGTGTGGGATGTGCAATCAAATTCAGGCAGAGTTCACTTTTGGCCCTGTATTTATACACACCTATGTACACAGGCATGTAATTACAAATAAAATGTTTTTAAATCTTAAAAAGTAGCAAAAGGATTCCCATGCATCTTCTCTCCAGTCCCCAAATGTTACTATCTTTAGTAATTACAGTCCAGTTGTCCACATGAAGAAATGTTGATGTCATACACTACCTACCTAATACATAGATTTGTTTAAATATAGTGAATGTCTGTCCAACTGATGTCCTCTCTGTCATCCAGGCTCACTCATGCTCCACAATTACTACCCTGCCTGTTTTGTGTCTGTAACTTACCACTCCATTTTTTGTTTTTCAAGACAAGGTTTCTATGTGTAGCCCTGGGTGTGCTGGAATTCACTTTGCACACCAGGCTGGCCTAAACTCAAAGATTTCCCGCCCCTGCCTCCCAAGTGCATGCTGGGCTGGGATTAAAGGTGTGTGCCCCCATGCCCAGCTCACTCAATACTCTTTTTTTTTTTTTTTTTTTAAGATTTTATTTATTTATTAAGCATACAACATTCTGCTTCCATATATATCTGCACACCAGAAGAGGGCACTAGACCTCATTGTAGATGGTTGTGAGCCACCATGTTGTTGCTGGGAATTGAACTCAGGACCTCTGGAAGAGCAGTCGGTGCTCTTAACCTCTGAACCATCTCTCCAGCCCTCACTCAATACTCTTGATCATATTTTCAAGTGCACTGGCCTAGTCCGGTAGACAGTCCTTCAATTTGGATGTCTGATTCAACAGTGTGTTCTTGGAATTCAGTGTTTATCCTGCATGTCACTTGTTTCAACAAGGAAATTTAGGGTTTCTAGAAGGAGAAGCCCCAGTTTGAGTTTTAAATTATATTCATTTACTATATAGGTGATGATTTTTGAGGCATAGGGATTAACATGTTAGCAGGAGAAACACTAAGCAATCACAAGGTATCTCCATCTTTCTTTTGCATACATGCCGACCACACTGTCTGTCTTCTGGTTCTAGTGTAACAGCCCTGCAGTTGAGAACCCCGCTAGATGTCTGGCTTTGTGGTGGAAGCCTGTGATCTTTGGTCCTTTATACCAGGTGTGCAGAACACTCTGATCTTGTGCATTGCTCCCTGCAGAGTGAGGAGCAAAGCACAAGGATAAAATGAACAGCTTAAGACCTTGCTTGCCCTGGGGAGAGAAGGTGAAAAAGACATTCAACATGGCAGGGATTAAGCATGGCAGTTACACTGGCTTCTAAGTTTTGTGACGTTTGTGTATTTGTGACAAAGGACTGCCAATACCCCAGGTGGAAGCTTAAACTTCAGCTCTGGAGGATGGGCTTTGGAGTAGCAGTTTCACTGGAAGTTGCAGGCAGGTAGCTCTGGGAAGGAGTGTGTGCTGTTAGTGCTAACCTGTGGAGAAGGTCATACGGCACAGTGGTGTTTTCAGGGGCTTTCAGCTGTGGTCTGTGGCACACTATTAGCTGTACACATGGTTTCTCTTGCTGTCTTGACGGGGACACTATTCTAAGCTAAGGTATTGCTGTGGAAGATGAATTCTCTTTCTGAAAATTCTTTATTTTAAAGATTTATTTATGTATACAATATTCTGTCTGCATGTATCTATGAAAGCCAGAAGAGGGCACCAGATCTCATTACAGTGGTTGGGAGCCACCATTGGTTGCTGGGAACTGAACTCAGGACCTCTGGAAGAGCAGGCAGTACTCTTAACCTCTAAGCCAACTCTCCAGCCCATCTTTCTGAAAATTCTAAAAATGGACATGAAGTGAGACTTTCCCAGGCTGCTTCTCCAAGTGCTTAATAACTGGAATACTGTTTTTTGTTTTTAGTTTTTAATGCTGACGATCAGAAGAGAGGCCCAATAAATTTATCCAATGGGGATGAAAAGCAGCAGAGTCTCATCCAGAATCAAGTAGAAGTCCATATTCCTCAACAGGCCTGAACAGAGATCCTACGAAGACTCAACTGTGAAATGGACAAAGTAAAATGGGCATTGGCTGATGATTACTATGGGGTCTAATCAGTACATTTTAGCGAAGAACAATGGGACTGTCTCAGACAGTTTGGGGCTTCTTTTAAAGAGTCTACAAAGGATGTCAAAATTGGTTAAGCTTTCTTCACAGGTATTTCTGGAGCAAGTTGGGCAACACTGAAAAGAGAAAAGAGGTGGTCCTGTATGGGGCAGCAGAACCTCATCATTCTGCAGTGTAAGACAGAGCAGCCTGTAGGCCAGCTTCTCCCCCTTTTTGTGCTGCTGCTTGCCCGTGTCTGTTCACTGGTACCAAGAATGGCTCATCTCTCCTGTACATACTTGATTCTATTATTGATGGCCTAGAGCTCTCACTGTCAGCATAAACACCACTGGTCAGTTTGGACAAATCTCAATACAAAGCTGTTCTGTGCAAGCAGCAAATAGAGACAGCCACAACACCTGGTTAACTCTAGGACTCAGAAGGCTGGAGCAGGAAGACTGCTATAGGTTCTGGGACAGCCTGAGCTACATAGTAAATTCAAGTCAGGTTGGGCAAGAAGGTAAGACCTGTCTCAAAACACCAATCAAGGGCTTTCTTTCTTTCTTTCTTTCTTTCTTTCTTTCTTTCTTTCTTTCTTTCTTTCTTTCTTAAAGACTACTGGTTTGAACAACCTGTTATTCTTTTGATGTTCAGAACATTATTAAGTTACTCAATGTGAGTACCTATGGTCTCTACCTTGCTTTCTGTTTGAGTGGGCAAAGGGAAATCTCTAGTAAGGCACTGCCCCTCACCAGCCAAGGCTGGACTGGGCTCTGGACAACAGCTGCATGGGCAGCCAAGACGCTGGGGGAGCATCGCAAGGACAGAGGCCCAGGGACTTGTGTTGCCAAGGTAGTCCAGGAAGAAGGGCTGGCTGCTGTGGGATACCCAGGTTAAAGTTGGGGACGCCTACAAAGGGAAGAGAAACACACCAGCAGCCTTGTTCTCTGTAGTTTATGTGTGGTTTGAAAAACGCACAGGCTTCATGTAGTTCACAAAACCTGCTCAGTGGGTTCTAACCAGTTGCAGCTTGACTGCATCACCCCGAGGACTCCTGCTTCCCGTGAAGCTCTCTCAAGAGGGAGGCACTTCTCAGGGTTTGAGGTCATCTGCTGTTAAACAGAAACTGCCCATGTTGCACCTGACCCAAGCTGACAGTACTGGATAACGCCTAGTGCCTTCTGGGGCTGGCTAAAAAAAAATCCTGCGGTCTAAGTGGAAGCCCAGGTGGTCCAGTCTTCCTATCCCATCATTCCTCTCTAAAAACATACATTTCATCTGCCGTGGCAGGTGTTGGTCGTCTCTCACTGCCCAAACAACCAGATTGGGTTCTTTTTCCACCCAGATTTGACATACAACCCTGTGTTTAGACTGCAAGGTCCTCAGATGTAACATCTTCACCATACAGTCCTTCTACTTCAAGGTTCCATACTCAAGAGGACTCTATTTTCTCGTGCCCCATTTCCTGTCTTAGCTTTAGTTCTGGTTTGAAGTGTAGACAGTGCTGACAAGCTGTGATTTCCTTTCAACAAGTAAAACAGGTGAGAACACTTTGGCCTCAGGGCTCTGAAGTTCCAGGCTGCCTAATGTCCATGCTTGACAGCTGAGCCAGACCACCTCTACTGGTGAGACGTCTGGCAACAACACCTTACCTCCGTCTTCACGAGTGTTGTGACCAGGTTCACTCAGGCATGTTTCAAAATAGTCCTAGGAAATGTTCTGACAAACGAAGGTGTCCTTGAGAGCATCTGCCTCGTGTGTGCGCGTGTGTGCATGTGCGTGTGCATGTGCGTGTGCATGTGCGTGTGGCCCTGCATTGCATCCTCAGCACCACTAATAAGTGTCAAGAGAGGATACCGAGAACTCAGGTTCCTTTTTACCATAAGCCAGGTGAACTGCCAATGACCTTAGGCCAACTGGAGAACCAGGTTAAACTTCATGGTAGCTCATTGTGCTTATTAGCACCGCCCCCAAGAGGACAAAAGAGGAACCACAGGCTTAGACACCTGTCATGACACACACCTGTGCAGAAGAGTGGGCAGCAAACAAGGATGGAACAAAGCCTTCGTCTTCGAGGGCTCAACTGGAACAGAGGCACGCACCACATCCAACAGACCCAAAGCTCAGCAGTGTACACGCTTCACCTGCTGCCAGCAGCAGCCGACACTGCAGTGTGATGTGGTTCTTAACTGCATGGTTGTGAATCCTGACAAACCTGTGTCTCAACACAATCGCCATGTTCTTTAGAAGTCTCCCCGAAAAATCTATTTCAAATTTCACCAGAATCTAAATGCTTAATAAACTCATGTTTCGGAACTTTCTCTGATCAGTTTTTTGAGGTTGCCTGGTGTTTACAGGGTGGTTTGGTGTTTACGAAAGGGTCTCATGTAGCCCAGGCTAGTCTCAAGCATAGTTCACAGCTGAGGGTAACTGAAGTCTGGTCCTGCTGCCTCTGCCTAAGTGAGTACAGTGCCACAGCCAGCTTGGATAATTGTGGCACTGCTCGATGGTGATGTCCACACCACAGTTCTCAGTGCAGCACCCATGCTTTTTTTTGTCAAGAAATTTATTAACCTTTACAAACACTATTTCACTCAATCATTCATTAAAAAATGTAATAAAATCACGTAATGTTCACCAATGCATTCCAGCCCAGTTACATCCATGGAGTATAATAAACCACTTTAAAACAGTAGTTTTCATTGCCACCAGGTAAGGGTGTTTAAAAATGAAAATCTTCCTTATAACAAGCTGTCATCCAGGAAATCCGCCTTATGTCACTGTAGGTCCCCAGAGTGGACACGGCCCATTCTTTCACACCAGCTTCACAACAGGAAAGTATTTGTGAACAGAGAAATCAAATTCGGGAGGAACCTATGAAGAAATCCAGAAAGCCAATGAATATATCTGCGAATGTTCAGGTAGGGTACAGCAACTACTTTAGACGTCCTGAGTCAGAGATAGGGCAGTACAAGAGAGACTGGCCTAATGGCAAAAGGCAAACAGGGAAACAACATCCAGACCATCTGTTATCTTCAGAGAAAGTTAAAGGAAAATGGGTTTCACCTGGAGACTGCACTCAGCCAGATCAGGACAACAACACAGTTTACTTTAGGGTTCGAGTGAAGAGGCAAAGCTACACACAACAGACAAATGCTACGAAGCTGCATCAGAGGCTGGCCTGGGACACGGCAGATCTTATTTATCAGTGTCTGAAACAGTCATGGGGCTGGGGAAATGGCTCAGTTGGTACAGTGTTTGCTGTGCAGGTATGAAACCTTAAGGTTTGAGTCCCAGCACCCATGTTAAAAAGCTGGGCATGATAGCACACACCTAAAATTCTAGTGAGGTGGAGGTGGAGGCAGCTCCACCTTGGGACTTGCTGGCCAGCCATGTTAGCTAAATTGGTGAGGTCCAGTTTAGTGAGCCCTGTTTCAAAAACTACTAAAGATCAAGTGAGGACAGGCCCAATGTCTTACCACATACCCTGCAGTGAAATGGCCAATGCATCTATGCGTGCACACCTATATACACAGCTTCTAAGTATGGAAGCATACTTCTCCTCAAAAGTCTGCTTTATACATTTTCTTTTAAAATATTTTATTCCATTTATTTTGTATGTGGGTGAGGGCCTGTTACCATGGTGTGTGTGTGTGTGTGTGTGTGTGTGTGTGTGTGTGTGTCAAGCTATTCTCAAGCACTGTCTTTCCATCTGCAGGGTAGGTCCCAGTTGTCAGTTGTCACACTCAGGCACCCTGACCCACTGATCATTTTGCCAGCTCCTATTTCTGAGTTCTTGACACTCTGGCTCATAGTTTAACTGCCCCAAGTTGCAAGTAATTTATATGGGATCAGGAGAAAAAAAAAAGAAAAAAGAGTTCTAAGCCTCAAAATGATTTGAAGAAAAATGGTGATCTTTGCCTCTCAGCAGCTGAGCCCCACCCTAGGATGACTCTCACACAATGCGGTGACCTTCTAACAGCACACAGGGAACGCTGCACTCACCTTTGACTCTTTCTTGTGTCCTCCTGCTAAAAGCTTCATAACCACGAAGTTGGGCTTGGCGACCTTGAGGATCCGACTGACCTACAACAGTTAGAGTGCTCAGCGTCACTGCAACAACAGGCAGGAGCCATGGAAGCTGACGCTGTGCTGCAAGCCCCACTGGCACCTCCCACCCACCCACCAATCGTGAACCTTTACTCGCTGCCTGCTCAGCAGTCAGCAGTCATGGTCAGAACATGGAGCAACACCTTAGCTTTACCACTTATACCAAAGTTCTCTCATCAGTGAGGTCCTCACCGTCATCCTCACAGAGATAGAGGTGAAGACTCTGCCAGCCCCGTAAGAACTGCTTTGAGGACCGAGTTAATGTGCAGCCCCCAGCTGTATGTTTCATGTTCCACATACAGCTGTGGTTGCAGACACTGAAGAGCACAGCCTAGCTCTGCACTTGGGCTATGTGGCTGTATTTAAATCTTAGAAACACTCCTGGCAAGTAGTGAGTATTCCTGGAGCAGTAACTTTTATTTCTGACAACTGTAGTCTGACAACTGAAGCACATGAATCATAATAATGACGACTGCTCGATTTCTCTTAAGCAAGTTCCCACTGCTGCATTGTTGACCACTGTCTGGAAACAGAAGGATGGGCTGGGCTCTTCCATCCACCTGCCTAGAGGCAGGCAGCAGCTCCATTTAAACATCTAATGGAAAAGGCAGACACACAAGTTCAGAGCCTGCCATGGGTCTGAGCCCAGGGAGTTCCAGGTCAGTCTGGCTACAGGATGACACCTCATCTCAAAAATAAATACATACATAGTAATCATAATCTGGTGTGGCCCACACCACAGCAATCTTGCCACCACGGAAATCAATTCATTCAGCTGCTCAGGCCAAAACCCTTCAAGTCATCCTGACTCTCTCTATCCCACATCAGAAGACTTTAAATCCAAAGAGAAGGTGCCCTGTTGACACACCCCTACCACCTCTCACCTCAGTCACTGCGGCCCACCTCCTGACTTTCACCTTTGCAGCGCAAGTCAGAGTGTCCCCGTATCCTAAGTCACATGTGGCCATCCTCTGTTGATGCTCCTCCCGATTCTGCTCTGCACCTGGGTGCTCTGTCCAGAGGGGTCCATCCCAGCAGCTATGTGACCAGCTTCCCCTTCTAGACTTTACTCAAATGTGTGACTTAAGACACAGCTAGAGATGCACCTCAGCGGCACAGGGTTTGGACAGAGTGGCTGTTTCCTGTTGGGAATCTAGTGGTTGCCTGGCCAAGTTTTGAATAAAGGAATGAAATTTCCACTAAATGAAAGACATCTTCTATTATTAAACCTCCCTCAAATTTTTATAACCACCGTTTTTAGTAGCTGGAGTATATACTTTTTTTTTTTCTTTTTTGGAGACAGGGTCTTACTATGTAGCCATGGCTGGCCTTGAACTCACAGAGATCCTTCTGCCTCTATCATCACATCCAACTAGAATATGATTTTTATGTCTCCTTCCTGCTCTTGTCTCCAGGGCAGTCAGCGTCCCTCTCAGAGGCAAAGGCACTATCAGCAACTCTTAATAGAGGCCACTTGTCATATAATACATGGTTTCCTCTGAATCTTCAATGAAATGGCAGTGTACCACGCACAGTCTAACCTACCTTAATCTCCTTGACTTTATTTATGAGTGGCTGGATTTCGGTTATACTGTTTGCAATTCAAACCCTCCATGTGGATTACTCGTCTATATTCATCACTCTGTATGTGCGCATGTACCTGAAAGGTGATTTCCCACCTATCAATTCATTTGCAGGGTTATAGCCCCCAGGCTTTGTGTGACAGGCAAGCACACTATCTCTGTGCCCAGCACTGGTTATTTCTGACAGACAATGCTAAATAAATCACCCTGCACTGAATTGCATATCAAGGGTTCCCCCAGTGACCAACTCATGTCAAGAGTAACTCCTGCGCTAACAAGGTAAACAGAGCTCAATAACATTGACGGACAGTGTAAACTATTAAATCCTAAATATTAAAGCCTAAACCATGTTTGCTTTCAAAGTTTATTCTGGTCTATCTGTCTTAATGCAACAGCCTTTTTTACTCCAAGTGGTCAAGTATGGAATAATGTTCTCTGGTAACTGATGACATAGTTTTTCCTGTCTGAGACTTGCAATGGACGCAGGGCATGGCAGAATAAGACCTAATACCTTGAACACGACAGAGGCAGAGGCAAGAGATTATCACGCATGAAGACCAGCCAGAACTAAGAGTGAGATCCTAGGGTGGAGAGAAGATACTCAACATGCCAACAAGTAAGTTGGCAAACTTACTTGAAATCCTTGCATCTGACAGTGCTGTCCAGCCAACTCACTATAATCAACACCCACCTAGTGGCAGGCTGTGCTTGCTGTCAAGCGTGTCCACTAGAAGCTCAGTGCACTCACTCTTACCTCACGGTCTGGGTTGGGGATGTTTTCGAGGATCATTTTAGCTTGCTGGAAGTGCTTGCTGGCTGCCACATACAGCTCTGGAGACTGAGGAGGAGGGCTGTATTTATTGAGGTCAGACATTTCCTAAACAGAAGGGAGACTGTCTATCATATTTCATATAAACTTCTTAAAGTTATTACAGAGTTCTTAACAAACTACCCATCCACAGACATTCAACATGTCTCAGCCTGAGCCCTTCTGACATGCACACACCATATCTCAATTATCCTAATGACTTCAACACATCTCACAAGGCCAAATACCTTCTACACCACCAAGACTGCTACTTTAGCGCTTGTCCCACTGGCCCAGCAAGGTGGACTGGTACAAACACTACCTCTCTAGTGTGGTGTCCAGCCCAAGACCTTGCTCCGGCCTCCCCCATAAGCTCACCTTGAACTGCAGGTAGTGTACAGGCGGCGGTGTCATCACGCTGTTGAACGGGGCAAACCTGTGCTCATACCGAACCTGTTCACTATCAAGTTCAAACTTGGGCTTGCGCACCTTGCCGTCCATGTCAAATGCCACCATCGTCTAAAGGAAAAGGGAATGAGAAGCAATGAGAACAAACAGAGAAATCTATCTGAAAAAGTGAACTTGTGCCTCAGTACAGGGGAAAATGTAGCAACTCAAATACTTTTTTCCAGCACCCAAGAAACAGAAATCAGACTTCTCATCCATTTAAATTTATACACTATGCTTTATACAAAGAATTCCAGCCTCCAGTTGTTTCCCCATTACCAAGTGGCCAGCCCTGAAGTCATCTGCATACAAGCGGCATTGCATGGACTGGGGACGATATGTAGGAATATACACATACACGGCTTTGAGAGA